GATATATAATGTGAAGGCAAGATCCTGATGCTTCAATCTATTGAAGAGAAGGCGAAAAAGAGGTCAGTTTCAAAGAACTCAGAGAACTGATTAGTGACACAACTTTAGCAGAAAGTTTATCTACCAACCCCCTCCCCCCCAAAAAAATCAGAAGAAACTTTATGACTAAACAAAAATCAAATTTGATAATCAGCATCTAACACTATTAATGTTATCTATCTTCATATAATTAGGGGTGCTCCAGGTCCCTTTCCTTAATTATTGTCATAATTATTGTGAATCCCAGGAAACCTCCATAATAGGCCCCTGACCTGTGGAATAAATCCAGCAGCCCCTGCCCTCCTAAAGAGCCTTGAAGAGCTGGCTCTTCTCACAACCAGAGGTAGAAGAGGGTGAGTATTATGTGAATGTGCGTTGCCTTTGGGGCACAGGGAGTGACTATTATATTTTTATTGTTTCTTTATTGCCATTTTGTGCCCCTCCCAGGTATGCCACATAAAATGAGTGGCCATATAAGACTTTCCAATAAATATGTACATATAAAAGACTTTTCTGCAGAAGAGGTTAAGAGGAAAAATGTATCAAGACTTTTAATAAAGTATTCTGAATGCTCGGTTCAATACAGAGGAATTAAGGAATTTGTGAAATAGTACTCTTAATGTCCCCTCCAGAAGGAAATATTAATCCAAACAGTCCAGGGGATGCCAATATTATATTTCTTGAGACCCTCTGCCCTCTTTGGATTTCTTGCTATGTTCCCCCCCCCCCCAAAGGGTGGTCCCGCTGTGCTGAGAATGTGGCTTCTCCACTTCCATTCCCACCAACCTCCTGGGATCCATAATTCCTTCGCTCGGTGCAAACTTTCCCTCGGCAAGAGAGAAGCATAAACCTGCCGTCCGATCTTTTCCCTGAACGATTTGCATTCTTAACCAACTGGGCTATTATTATTATCGCCGTCTGCTAACGGCCGCCGCGGGTTAGCGAAATCTGTCCCTTCCAGGCCTTTCCAGCTGTCTTGGGAGCCTTGGGGGCAAATGCCCAACGGCGACAGGAGAGGCAGGTGAAGGAGGCTCGCTCTCCCCGAGGCTCCATTGGCTGCCCCACCGAGCCGCGTCTTAGCCAACCTTCCTCTCGCCCGGGAGCGGCGGGGCGAGGGAGCCTCTGACGCTGCCCCAGAGCCTGGCCCCCTGCCCTTTGACTTCGCCTGCTTTGAATAGAGACCCGGGCACCCAGCTGCAGCTTACATAAAGGGCAATTAGCGGCCAAGGGCTGAATGGCACTAAGGAATTTCTCCTCCAATGACGGTAGCGCCTCGTGCAGCGCAGACAAAAGGGGACGTACTGGGGTCCGCGCCCCCCGCCCGCTGAGCCAGCTTCAGCCCCAGGGAGCGCAAAGCATTAAGAAGGCCCGAGGGGGCTGGCGCAGAAGCCATTGTCCTCGGGCTGAGTGGAGCGGAAACAACGACTCGGCGCTGCCGCTTCCAAACGCCTCCGCGCGCCTCATTGTTGGTGCAGGCAGATGCCCGTCTGTCTCCTGTGCGCCATCTGCTTGCTTCTCCGGTGGGAGACGGTAACGGGGGAAGAAGGGGCAGATGCCCAGCGCAACAAAGGCGTCCCGACTTCTGTCACGGTCTGTTTGTCAAAAGAAGAACTTCCTATCACCTTTCTCCAGGCACCACTTTGGTTATATATCAGCCACAGGACTAGGGAACAGGTCACTTTATATTCAGTTGTCGGTGTATTTCTGTCCAATTTGGTTTAGGAAAGTGATGGACGATTTTTTCCCTACAGGACTGTACTTCAAAAAATTGACAGGGTCAGGTAAAAAAAAAAAAAAAGAACCCATGACACTTAACATTACATTTAAAATTGCATATGGTTCCTAGGATGACTCTTCGGCCACATTTTTAATACTGTAATGTTCGTCTTGTGTCAGATTTAACAATTTGTTAATGACTGTGGAGGTCTACANTTATGTTCCCCCTTTTTCCCCCCTTGAATTGTTCGCCGCCCTGAGTCCTCCCGGAGAAGGGCGGCATACAAATAATAAAATACAAATACAAATACAATACAACGTATTAATCTGTGAACCGGTAGTGAAGGTAAGTTGATTTCATCCCTGAAATAGAGCCACTGTATATCATAGCCTATTATATACATACGAACATATCTGAATCACAATATTCAAAAAAGGGAAAATTATGTAGTGTGCATCCAGTCATCTGGGAGAAGCTTTGTGGTGTGAGAGAGGGTGAGTGACTCCTTTCTGACTTGGAAAAAAATTAACACATTACTGTGTTCGTAAAGAACACTCAACACTTAACAGATGCATTTTCCTATTATTCTAAGTTTAATTGATTAAAATCTAAAGTAGTTTTTTTGTGGCTCAGCCTGTTTACAAACTCAGCTCATTGTTAGTTTATGGTTCAGTATGTTGTATTAACACAGAAAATAGGTTACCTCAGTTAAATATAACCAAGTTAAAGAGATTTAATGGTTTACATTAAGTGCAGAATCTTCCAATTCCTGTTTTAAAAGCATTTTAGAAACATCATATTAACAAGACCAAATACATGCTAATTTTTTTGGTAATAGCAACTGATAATATCACAGTGCCAAATCTGAATTTTCTTGATAGCAGGAGTTGAGGACCAAACTACATCTTTGTTACCTGTGTTTTATTTTTCTTCTTCTAAGAAATTTCATATTGCAGACCAGCTTGGATACCAAGAAGTCTCACAGGACTTCTAAACAAGTACTATCTCAGGTTTGCTACCATCAAACTGAATCAAAATGAAATATGAATGGATGTCAGTAACTGCCTTATGTGTATCTCTTGCCTCTCCGGAATTGTAATGTGAGACTAACTTCATCACTTGCTATTTCTCAGCCGGTTGGAGGTAGTTCCATGTGGGTCCAAATCAAGCTGCTAACTTAAATTCATGCTGATCTTAACTTCTCCCAAAGAATGTGGAAAGTTGAGTGTTATCTCTAATTCTGATTCCCTACAATAGTTAAAGTGCAAGCAGAGAGTCATTCATGACTTAAAAGTTAAAATTTATTTGGCATTTGCTGCAGCATCCAAAACCTTTGTTTAGTAGGCTACAGCCAATGTTACATGAATAATTTTCTGCTGTTCTACCCTTCTAATGCACCTCCTACTTGTCCTAATATGGTTTTCTTCATGTTCCATAGCTACCAAAACCTCATTAAAACCTTTATTAGGGATAGATAATATTTTTGTGTTTCTAATAACTGTAAATAAGAGAATCACTTATGACTGTGTCCCTCTGCCATCAGTTCTTCACTTGACTTCAGATATGTAAGGACATTTATAATGAAGGAACTGAACTAAAGACAGGGGGAAAAAGGATGATTCAGCTTTCAATTTCTTATGTTTCCCACCGCTTTGCAGTAAGTTTTGAACATAATTGCTGTTGGGGAATTTTTAAAAAAAATAAAATAAGGGTATGCAAAATATTTGGGAGAGGTCTTCACAAACCACATTAGTTCAGACAAATGATTCCTCCTGAAGGAATTGACATGTTTCCATACTCTGGAGGAGTTTGCCTACCTGCTTCCTTCGGGTGGTGGTTCCAGTAGAAGAGGCTGGGCATATACACCTACATGTACAGATAGCCAGTCAAACCCTTCAAACCAGCTGTGCCAGCCTTGCCAGACCACCTGTCTGCTTCAACCCTCGGAGAAGGATTTTGCTTGTGCAGGCATGTTTTACCAGCTGCTCATTTCAAATGCTTTGCATAGCCCCCACAGCAATGCCATTGTCATACTATTACATTCCTCCATAATATAGTAGGCATTTTTGCAGTCTGTGAGTGAGCAGATGATACAATTAAAAAAAACCCAAATGTTAATGAGGTGTGGGCAGGGGTGGACTGCTGTGAGTTCACCTGGGTTCAGGAGAGGACCCCTAACTAACATTATGGCCAGTTCAGAGAACTTCCAAATCACACCTCTGGCTGGCCATACCTACCCCATCCCTCCCAGGTGTCTCCATGCAGCCCATTTTGGATGCAAGGTAAGTGCAGGGCCCACACGGAGGCTCGGGGGGGGGGGGGAAATGGGCTTTCCAGAAATTCTGGAAGGCCAGAAACACATCTCCATTTCTAGTCTCCGCAGGGCCTCCGGAGCCCAGGGGAGGAGGTATTCACCCTCCCAGAGGCTCCAGGAAAGCCTCCAGAGCCTGGGGAAGGTGACCTCTCCACTTTGTTGCAGGAGGCCAACTAGGCCATGCCCACCATGGCTACACCCGCCCAGTAACTGGGCAAAGAACCCCTTGCTGAAATTTTTGAAACCCACCCCTGGATACGGCAGCAGCAAAGTCAGGAAGTTGGATGAACAGGAGAAATGATGTGGTTCTTGGCACACTGCAAAGACACCCACAGTAAATGAGGTTGATGCTATAGCCTCCACTATCAGTTCTGGGAAAAGATCCAAGCTTCAGTAGTTTCTGGTCATAAAGACCTGCTACTGGGAGGTCTTTTGTGAATCACTATGAATTGCATCAATCATATAGATCTTGTTCCAATAGATCAGTTTCCCTTACTCTGATATCTGCTCCGTAGGTTAACTTTACAGACTTGAAATTGTATAAGAAGGAAACCTCTTGGATATAAAACCAGGAAAAGGATTGTTGTAACTGGAATATGATTGTAAGTTCCACCTTTTAGTAAAGGAGTCTAGACCAGTGTTTCTCAACCTTGGCCACTTGAAGATGTCGGGACTGGCTGGGGAATTCTGGGAGTTGAAGTCCCGACATCTTCAAGTGGCCAAGGTTGAGAAACACTGGTCTAGGCTGAGTATGGGTGGTCAGCTTCACCACATGAAACCATGTTATTCTGTGCACTTCAAAGAAAAATTGAGGCAGGGGCAATTTACCCCACCGAATCTGCCTTTGTGTATGTGCAAAAACTGTTGTTAACAAGTGAAGTGAAACAACACAACTGTTTTTCACAACTTCTTTGGAGAGGAACTACTTACTGTATGACTGAATCTCCCCAAAAGCACAGTGTTTGCATTCATCCACAAGAGGGAGACATGATCCCAATTTTCAACCAGAAGCAGCTTAGAAAAGTAGACCACAACCTTTAAAAAAGGAGGAAGCATTGGTTTCTTTTGTTTGAGACATAATAAGACATTATAGCTTTGATTTTTTAAAATAAAATAAAATATACTGTGTTCACCTTCTCAATACTCAATGACACCTGGAGTCATTCGGCTTCAGTTCTCTCCTCTCCCATCTCAGCATTCATATGATGAGCAAATGCCAATAATGTATATTTCTCCTCTTCCCTCTTCCTCCTTCTAGGGTTGACCAAATTAACTTCCAGCAAGTAGCTTTTATCCTTAGCAGAAAACAAGCCACCCAACAAATAAACAGGAAATCCAATTATAGAACTGCTAATGATATGTATCATTCATTCCTCCCATTTTTGCAAAAGGAGATACAACCATTGTCTCAGCCTTCCGCAATGAGGGAAAAGGAAGGCTCCTGTATGCATTCCCTAACTCGGATGTGTTACACTACAGGTGCCATCATTCAGAGCCATCATGGTAATATTGACAGAAAAGAGTCAAAAAGAAGACTTTCATACGCCTTAACATTTGTGATTCGACAGAGGATATTTTATTAGGTTCTCTGGCTCAATTGGTGCAACATGATTCATCCATGATTAGCAACCGTGATTTTACCAATGATTTTTTTGTACAACCCTCTGAAACATACTCTGGTCACACAGGCTGGGTTCTGCCACCCACTAGGTTAAAATATGGCTACTTGATAACTTTGTCCTGTAAACAAAGCTTGTTCCGTATATAAAAGTCCTTTCTCTACTCAACTATAAAGACACAGTCCCCTTTTCTTGCACCGCAGGCATCCCTCCAATGGGCAAACTGAAAAGCTGAGGATAAAAATTATTTGCTTGATGCATGCTGTGTGTTTAAGCCTTTTGCATGACTTGTCTATTATAATGCAGCTTTGGGGTTTAAATTATATAGATCGAATCCTGGATTTTATTTCTGCTTTTGTTGCATGTCATCACATCATGGGAAAATAAAGGAATGAACAAATGAACGAACAAATGAACAAAATATCAGCATTCCATGTCTTCTTTTGCATTAGGTTTTCCCTTCACTCCAACATGCATAAACATATGTACAGTTCTGGGCCAAGATCAGGGGTGAAATCCAGCAGGTTTTGGAGAACCAGTAGCGGACATTTTGAATAGTTTGGAGAATCGGTAGTGGAGTTTTTGAGTAGTTCGGAGAACCGGCAAATGCCACCTCTGGCTGGCCTCAGAGTAGGGTTGGAATGGAGATTTTGCAGTATCTTTCCTCTGCCACGCCCACCAAACCACAGAACCGGTAGTAAAAAAAAAATTGAATTTCACCACTGGCCAAGGTTTATAACTGGTCAGGGAATCAACAAAGGGTTAGATGGCTTTCCTATCGAGCTATTGCTATTGGGGTTGCCAGCCAGGCAAATGTTGTCCTTCCAACCTGGATCTTCAGATTTAGTTAAACAATTCACCCTTCCAAACCTGGTCTTGGCCCCTGCCTATTCTTGGAATGNAACCTTGTCAGATCATATTATGCGGTCAATAAAACCCAGTACTAGAAACAGTATGCCATTAGGGACTGACAAAATAGCACTAGATCAGTGTTTCTCAACCTTGGCTACTTGAAGATGTCTGGACTTCAACTCCCAGAATTCCCCAGCCAGCTGGCTGGGGAATTCTGGGAGTTGAAGTCCAGACATCTTCAAGTGGCCAAGGTTGAGAAACACTGCACTAGATATAATGGTGGTGGTACCTTTGGTTTTTTGTTTTTTGTTTTTGCATTTTTACATGCTTTCGAACTGCTAGGTTGGCAGAGGAGGGGAGATCACTCTGTCTAGTCTAGTCTAGTCTATCTAGTCATGCCGGCCACATGACCACGGAGACATCTTCAGGCAGCGCTGGCTCTTCGGCTTTGACATGGAGATTAGCACTGCCCTCTAGAGTTGGGAACGACTAACACATATGTGTGAAGGGAACCTTTACCTTTTTATAATGGTAGCACTTAAGGAGGAGCTAAAATCCCAACCCAGAACCTTAGACTGTATTAGAGAGGAAGCTGGGATAAAATCAGGAGATAGAATCCAAGAGCAAGACAATAATCACAATCAATGATCATACATACATGCATACATATATACATGCATGCATGCATTCATACATATATACACACATATATATGTACATATTCCATCACCGTATGGAATATAAGTATGTCCTCTTCCTATCCAGGAAGATGTAAGGGTGTGGCTAGGTCACACCAAAGCACAAATATACTCTCATTACAGGTTGGTAACTGGCCTCAGACTGGCCTGAGGGAAGCACAATTCTGCTTGAGAAGCTAATTGGACTGTAGTCTAACCTTCATTACCTAGAGGTAATGAAAACATTCTCCACTGTGCTGGAAGGCAGCAGGCTAGGTTTAAGGAATGTAGGGCAATTAGATGATACATAGCTGTCTCCTGTAGTTGCCTCCCAACACCTGCTACCTGAGATCGCTGTACATAAAGATCTTTTTAAAAAATGGGCAGGGGAAACCCAGAGGTTCACGTTTCTGTGCAAGGCAGCTATAGCAAGCAATAGATCCAAGATTAAAGGCTCTGTGTTGAATTGTTAGGAATAGCAAACATTTTTCTTTGCCTCCAAAAGCTAAGCGCAAACTAACAATGAATGACTTTTGTGCTCCTAATAAATTCAGTTCACTACTTCCATCTTGGGACGGTCATTGAACCGCAAATATCCTAACTGATGTGTCTTCTCTTCTTTAGAGAAATTGCTCCCCACTCACTTTCTGTATTTTAGAATACCTCATCAGATGAAGAGTTTGGAAGAACTTGAAAATGTTCATGCTCTTTTATAACATTTTGTTTGATCTTTATAACAATTGTTATCCAGCTCTGGGAAGGCTGGGCCTTCCTCTTTTTCTTAAGTTTTCGTTTTTTAAATAAATTTTATTTTAAACGCATAAACAAAACAAGACATAGATTTTAAAAAAGGTAAAATTCCATCATACAGCAGTTCTGTATTGGTATGTCTTTACAATGGGTGTTTTTCCCCCTATACATTCATATCTTACATTCGTGGTTCCTTTGTTCTTTACTTATTTGTGTATACTATTCCATATTTGTGTATACTTGATTGTTTATATCAGAATATCACTTCACATATATTGTACAAGTTTTCATTGTTGAGTATGCTCAGGTTACTCCAGTAAAATTCCCCCAATATTATTTCACTGAGGAAAGAGGACAAGTAGTCACAACAACCATAATAATCCAAACAGTCCCCCAAGCTTTGCATTCCCATTTTGCGAAGCTTAGGGTTTTAAAAAACATTCTGTCTGTTTTCTGTTTGTTTGCCCACACCTCATGCTCACACCTGCAAAATTAGCAAAGGGAGAAGAAAGAAAAACCACACAAAAGGAGAAAGCATCAGCATTCCAACAGGCCTTGGGAGGCCGCTACAACTCACTAGTTTTTAATACAAGGGCTTGCATTCCTTCCCAAGGTCAGCAGCGGAGGTTTTGTCTGCTTGTGGTGGGTTTGGTGAGAACAAAATGAAAGACCTTTCTACAGCCTAGGTTGCGGTGAGGAAGAAGAGGGTCAGACTCAAACAAGGAAGTCTAACGCATGTTACTCAGAAAATGCCCCTGGCTACAGTTGTAGAATTTTATCTCCAGCCTCAGGCATCATGCAAACATATATTAGCAATTACAGCACTGCTTTACCTCACCTTTAGACAGTACAATGCTATGTTGTACTGAGTTTTTTGGAACTTAGTCTTTAGGAATACAGATAATTTTCCCAGATGATGCTAAATGTCCTAATCCCACTAACACAAACTATAAATATTGTAAAATGAAACATTTCTATAACGTTTTCACTGCTGAATCTCTGAACATAATCACATAGTTACTCTGTCCTTCTAGAAGTGATTTTTACGTTTAGCTTTAATTTGCAGCATATTTTCACTGGACTTTGTGGGACTGTTTGCCTCACTCCCCCCCCATTTGTTCAATCTGATTCAGTGTCTGAGTCTAGGGGACTGTTGGGTCAAGGCTTTTCAGACATGGGGTGTGTGTGTATATATTTTTTATTTATTGTTCTTGTAAATAACTCAAGGTGATGAACATGTCATTTTTCCTTCTATTTCCTCCACAACATTAACCTTCTGTGGTGAATAAGGCTGAATCAGTGAGTGATTGACCCAAAGTCAACCAGCTGGCTTTCATGGCTAAGGGGGACTAGAACTCATGGTCTCTGGTTTCTAGCCTGGTGTTTTAACCATTAAACTGAAAATGTTCATATTTGTCTATAAAGAAGCAGAGAATAGAATATTCTGCTTTGTGGCATTCAGTGAACTTTTTGATCCTTCTGCTCAGCAGATACAAAAGTCATATCAAAAAGCCAGAAGAATCTTTCACCCAATCATAATTGTGCTGATACGTATAATAGTAATGAAGCAACATAGCCTCAGCGATGCCTAGGTGATACTAGAAGATGCTTGTAATTACTTTGGGGAAATTATAGAAAGGTGTTACAGTGGAGTAGATAATATAATTGTCTGGCCAGATGAACTTACTGGAACTGCAAAAGAAATGCCAACACCAATGAACAGATCATGGGTATACAACTACTGCTCTCTTTTTTAATTCAATTCTGTCTTTTAAATCTGTACTATAAACAGGGTAATTTGAAACTATCTTATGTCAGATAAGTTTCTCCAAACATATGCTGCAAATTGAGTGAGTGGATGATTGACACTTCTTTACAGATTTCTACTTTCTGTTCCATTTAAACATTTGTATATTAAGGACATTACAAAGCTACCCTGTCTCCTGTACTTCAGCTATCTTTGGAATTTCTACTGCTTGTGAAATGGAATTCACAGGGAAAATAACACTGACATTTAAGTTATTACATGCAGTATTTATTTTATTTAAAGTTGACATATCTGCTTTCTAGTTAGAAACACCAGAAAGGCCTTTTAAGATCAATTAAAACAAAACATTCCTTGCCCTCAGGCTTAGTCTTGTCAAAAACAACTGAAAGGATAGAGAGAGATGATGTAGAAAAGGGAATATTATACTTCCAAATCATGATTCATCTTAAAAAGATTCCTTGCAGCTGTACCATGTTATGTAAAAGAAATTGACTAAAGTTAGTGCTTTTCAAATGTATCGAACCCAATTGCCTTACTTGCCAAATTAGTGCTCTTTTAACATATTGGTTAGAATTGTGGGATTTAAATTTAACACAACTAAGAATTATAGATGGCGGAAGTGTTGGAGATAGACTGACTGAGCCAGAGGAGGAGTCACATGGGGAATTAGTCTAGAATTCATACCTGGGCACAAGAGGGTGAAGTCTGATGCCCCTCTTGAATGCCGTTGAAACTTATCTAGATACAAATAGTCACAAAAGAATCCTGTGTATCGACTTAAGCAATAAAACAGCTAATTGAACTCTTCACATCCGGATCTTGTTCCAAAAGTGCTTTTTTCAGGACGCAACTTAACTTTCTGTTTTTTCTTTGACGACATTTCCTTTCTCATCCAAGAAGATGTTTTATTTCTCATCAGAGTTGAAGAAGCTTCTTGGATGAGAAGTGAAATGTCTTCAAAGAAGAAAAACCAGAAAGTCCAGTTGCCTCTTAAAAAAAAAGAACCTTTGGGACAACCATGACCTAGATGACTGAAAATCTCCATAGACATCTGGATCTTGTTGTTTGCACCTGACAGGAAGGCTGGTTTAGAAGTAATAGCCAAGAAAAGAGGAAAAGAGAAAGATCATTGCAATTTTATATACATTTGAGAAAGGATATTATGCTGTTAAAATACTTATATTTATCTTGGATTCTTCCACCAGTGCAAGGGGCATACTTAAGAGGCCATTTTTTTCTTTGTCTGTATCACCCTTCCTATGAATAAACTTCCTAGAATATTTGGCAAAGCTTGAGATTAACTTTGAATTCTGTCAAAAGATAAGAAACAGAAATTCTCAGCAATGGAATGGAAGTCATCAAACAGGGAGCTAACGCTTTCATTTTCTACTGGCTCAGGATTGGATGTCCATTTCTTTTCTTACTCGCCATTATTTTTCAGCATTGAAATACCTTTGCCCTTTCTGATTCTCTCGTTGTTGAGAACATGAAACTTTTATT